ATAAATCTGGAGGACATTAAGTTGAATAAATAAGTCAAACACACACACAAAAAAAGAGTAGGACATTTTAACTCTGGAAGATGGAATAAGTAGAAGGAACAGCATGTGCACAGTATATTTGATGCAGTGAAAAATAAACATGTTGTTGTTGTTAGGTGCCATGGAGTTGATTGTGATTCATATTAACCCCATTTGACAGAGTAGAATGGCCCCATAGAAATTTTCTTGGCTATAGTCTTTTTTGTGAGCAGATCTTCAGGTCTCCCATGGAACCACTGGATGGGTTCAAACAGTCAACCTTTTAGTTAGTAGGCAAGTGTTTAACTGTTGAGGCATCAGAGCTCCTTAAAACATCCACATAATAGGAGTAAAATGAGCTAGGGGGCCTGTGCTGTGCAGTGAGACTGCAGAAGTAAGTAGAGGCCAGATAACATAGGATCCTGTGGGATGTGAGGTTTTATCTTGAGCTCAATGAAAAGATAACTAAGACTTTTAAGATGGTTGGGGCAAGAGTGGGAGTAGTGGAAGCAGGTTGTGACTAGAGGCCACGGTCTAATTCACATTTAAAATCTCTCAGGCTGTTGAGTAGAGAATAAATGAGAAAGATACCAACACAGTGCACAGTGACCAGGGTAAAGGTGATGATAAAGCAAATGGATTTCACCTGACCATGGAGTCAGTCATGGAAGGCCCATTAAGTGCCAGTAGAGATTTTCATGTTCTAGAGAGAAAGATTTCTAAAATATAAAAACAGGACTTGGGGATTTTGGTAGTTAAGGTTGGGCCATGATTTTGAGTAGATTGGCAGCTGGATGTAGTTATTCCCCATGAAGAGAGATTGGATGTGGTACGATCACATTCATGGTGGAATCTGCTGTTAATCAACTGAAGGAGAGGTGCCTTTGGGGTATGGCCTGCTCCCAGTAAATACAGAAAGGATCCTGCATTTGGTTCAGTCTTTATTTCTTGTTCTTGGACTTGAACCAGTGGCCTGCAGTGTTGCCTGCTGATTTTAGGGTTATTGCCTTCACAGCCTGTGGGCCAACAATCTGCCATTTTACCTGCTGGTCCTGGGTATGTCAGCCTCAGGAGCCAGCAGCTATCTGAGTCAGCAGAAGCCTCCAATGGGCCTGGAAGGCAGAGCTAAAGTCCAAGGTTGAGGGGCCTCCACCCAGCCCCAAGAGCTAGCACTCTGGACTCAGACTTCTGGCCTAATCATCCCCTAGAGCTGGCTCTCTGAATTCAGACTTCTAGCCTCCTAAACTAAGATAATAAACTTCTGTTTGTTGAAGTTATCCACTTGTGGTATTTCTCTTATCGGAGTGCTAGAGAGAACTAAGACAGAGATGGACTGATATGAAGATGAGGAGGAAACACACTCATTGTTAAGTCAAATGATTTGTCACAGATACCACATATGAGAAAGTTTCAAGGAATGGGGAGTGGCTTATAATTTTAAATACTGGTAAGAGGTGAGAGTTGAAGTAAAATGAAGTGGAAGAAGTCTGCTGAAGTTAGCAATATGGGCTCACTGGTGACCAAACGTGAAATGTTGTAGCTAGAGATGTAGGTGGAAGACAGACAGAAGAGGAATAAAAAACCCAAAGCAGTTCCAGTTCCATGGAGTCAATGCCAACTCATAGCAGCCTAACATGTGTCAGAGTAGACCTGTGCTGCATAAGGTTTCCAATGGCTGATTTTTCAGAAGTAGACTGCCAGGCATTTCTTCCAAGGCATCTCACAGTGGACTCGAACCACCAAATTTTAGGTTATCCATTTGCTCTACCCAGGGACACTGAGAGAAGGAATACGCAGAAGGTGATATGGGACAGTATGTATAGACAATCCTTTCCAGGGTTTTGCTGTTAGTGAAGGAAAAGAGTTTTTGAAAGTGTAAGAATTGAAATGAAAAATAAAAACAAGATGACATACTAAAATACAGTGGTTTTAGAGTCAATTGGCTCACAATGAGTGTGTTTCAAACTAAAGGAATAGTCTGTGTTATTAAGAATACAATGATATAAAGTTCTAATGATCTACAGGGGTCTCAAAGACCTTGCAACGGTTCATTTCATCCCCAACATATTAGAAGAATTAAAGACTTCAAAGAGATACCAACTCTTTTTAGCAACATGTCTATGCCTATATTAAAATAGAACTGATTCACAAAATTGAACTAATCACTCCAAACATTGTGAGAAACTCTAGCAACTCAGAGGAGATCTATTGTTAGTTTGTATAATTATTAAGGTGGCATCACACTGAAGAGTAGGATGGGGAAATTGATAGTTATCCCTGTTTCAGGTTAATCCATGACAACTAATCAAGGCAGCAGAGTTTTATCTTCGAATTCCTGATTCTCTCACAAAATTAGGAAGGTGGACTGGTCTATGCATTTAGAATGGGAAAGTCAGACATCGGTGATTGTTCTTAATGGATCTTGTTAGATACACCAGGGAATGCACAGCATTCAGAAAAGCCAAGGGGATGACCAGAATAACAATTACAGGAGCCTCAGGTCACCATCTTGTCACTTTTCCTGTTCCCTGGAACTGTGAAGTACCACCTGACACCACTTCTCCCCAGTCTCTCTCTTTTTAAAGATTTACAGCCTTGGAAACTCTATGGGGCAGTTTCACTCTGTCCTACAGGGTCACTATGAGTCGTAATTGACTCGGTGGCAGTGGGATTGGTTTGTTGTTGTTGTTGTCGTTGTTATAATTTGCTATTACTCAAATCCATGAAATGTGGAGTTCTAGGATATGGCTCCTCTCCATTGTGAATCTGCTCGTCTGCCACCACACAGAGTAACTAAAAAGCACCTGCGGAAACCTTGGCTACAGGAGTACTATAAGCCCTCTAGGGTTTGAGTTGAGGCAAACTGGAAAACAAAACAAAATCAAACACAAAAAACTTATTATCATCAAGTCAATTCTGATTCATAGTGATCCCATTGGACAGAGTAGAACTGCTCCATGGGGTTTCCAGGCCTGTAATCTTTTTTTTTTTTTTTTTTAATTGTGATTTGGGTGAAAGTTTTACAGAGCAAATAGATTTTCCATTCAATAATCCATACACATACAATTTTGTGATATTTAAGGCAATCCCACCAGTCTCTATCAGACAGTGTCTCTCTTCTGGAGACAATCTGCTTCCATAAAGATTTATAGCTTTGGAAATCCTGTGGGGATTGCTATGAGTCAGAATCTACTCAATGGCAATTAGTTCAGTTTTGGGAAGAAGTTTTCAAAACTTTATTCCCATGTGCACTACTATATTAGTGGATATATTCGAAGCACATATAAATATATATGTAGAAATAGCCTCTGTCCAACCATATACATTCGTGGATATTCCATTCACCTTCCCACACCTATTCAGCTTGTGTGTCTATCTATGTATCCACTGGTAGATAAGTGTTATTACTGTTATCGCAGGTTTGAGTATGTAATAGTATTTACCTTTGTTGCCTTTAACTCTTGGGCTCTTCCCAGTGAGATTTAAAAATCTCTTTTTAAAGATTTACAGCCTTGGAAACTCTATGCGGCAGTTTCACTCTGTCCTACAGGGTCACTATGAGTCGTAATTGACTCCATGGCAGTGGGATTGTTTTTTTTTTGTTGTTGTTGTTATAATTTGTTATTACTCAAATCCATGAAATGTGGATTGCCTTGATAATTTTATCTTCAGTCCAAACCTTCATTGCTTCACACCTGGCCTAGTATAGGAGATATCCTCTGTCTACCCCATTCTGCATAGGACCACTAAATGAAGCATTCTAAAGAAAATTGTTGGCAAGTTAGGATAATAGGAACAATGGATTCCAAGATTAGAGATCCAAAACCCAAATGAAACCCAATGCTGCAGAGTTGATTCTGACTCATAACGAACCTAACCCACTGCCATCGAGTTGTTCCTGACTCAGAGCAACCCTCATTGGTTTTCCAAGGTGGTAAATCTTTACAGAAGCAGACTGCCCCATCTTCCTTCCACAGAGCGACTGGTGGTTTTGAACCACCAGACTTCTGGTTAACAGCCAAATGCTTTAGGCACTGCTCTACCAGAGCTCCTTATAGTGACCCTGTAGGACAGGGTAAAACTGCCTTGTAGGATTTCCAATGATGTAAATCTCTATTGAAGCAGACTGTCTCATCTTTCTCCCACAGACAGGCTAATAGGTGTTGGGTTTGAACTGCCAACCTTTTGGTTAGCAGCTGAATGCCTTAACCACTGTGCCACTAGAGATCCTTATTAGAGATACAGTTCCCTCATTTATTACCAATGACTTCATGGAAAATTTGACCAAACTCTCTGAAATTCCACATCTTCATTTGTTAACTGGAGAAAATAAAAAACGGTCAAATTCTTTATAGAATCAAGGAAAGGATGCCTTTTTCAACATTACATCCATTGTACTGTTCTAGTTTTTGTTGGGTGCTGTCAAGCCCATTCTGAACCCCATGTGACAAAGTAGAACTGTACCATACAGTTTGACTGTAATCTTTTTTTTTTTTTAAACTTTTTGTTGTGATTTGGGTGAATGTTCACAGAGCAAATTGGTTTTCCATTCAACACTACATAGACATTCTGCTTCATGACTTTGATTTGAACTTTGTACCATGTAACAGCACTCTTCACCTTCTCCCGTGTATCCCCTTTCCACTCATCCTTCTTTCCTACCCCTTGCTGCCTTCTGAGCTTTATCCCTTGGCAAATGCTGCCCTTTCGAATGCCTATGGTTGATTGTGCTAAGAAGCGTGCACCTTCCTGGTGTTGCTGTTCATATTAAGAACCTATCTATTGTTTGGTTAAAAGTTGAGCCACAGAGGTGAGTTAAGTTCCAGGCTGGAAGAGTATCTAAGGGTCATAGTCTTGGGGTTCCACCAGTCTCTATCAGACAAGTATGATCTTTTTTTTATGATTTTGACTTTTGTTCCACATTTTTCTCCTTCTCTATCCAGGACCTTATATTGTGATCCCTTTCAGAGTAGTCAGTAGTAGTAGCAAGGCACCATCTAGTTCTGGTCTCAGGGTCGTGGAGTTTGTGGTTTGCATGGTTCATCAGTCCACTGGACTACTTGTTTCCATGCATCTGTCATTTTCTTCACTCTTACTTGTTCTGGATGGGGAGAGACCAATCATGACACCTCCAGCAGCCTCTCATAAGCTTTAAATACCACAGTTGCTACTCACCAAAGTAGGATGTAGAACATTGTTTGTGGACTGTGTTGTACCAATTAACCTTGACATCCCCTGAAACTATGGTCCTGAGCCCCCAGGCTCAGCAACTCATTCTCTCAAGGTTTTTGGTTATGGTCAAGGAGTTCTGGTGGTGCAGTAATTAAGACACTTGGCTGCTAACCAAAAGATCACAGTTTGAACCCACCAGCTGTTCCATGGAAGAAAGATTAGGCCATCTGCTTCCATAAAGATTTATAGCTTTGGAAATTCTATGGGGGTCGCTGTGAGCCAGAATCCACTCAATGGTAATTAGTTCAGTTTTGGGAAGAAGTTTTAAAAACTTTGCTTGCATGTGCTGGACTATATTAGTGGATCTATTTGCAGCACATATAAATATACATGTAGAAATAGCCTCTGTCGAAACATATATATTCATGGGTATGCCATTCACCTTCCCACACCTGTTCAGCTTGTGTGTCTATCTATGTATCCACTGGTAGATAAGTTATTACTGTTATCACAGGCTTGTGTGTGTAATGGTATTTACACACACAATATAATTTTATTTGTTGCCTTTAACTCTTGTGCTCCTCCCAGTGTCTTCCTTTGCCTTCATAATTTTGTGCTGACTTCCTCCTTATCGCATACCGTCTTTCTCTTCACCCAAGTTAATATGTATCTACCCTCTAGTTAGTCATTGCCCCTCCCTCTCCCTCCCACACTGGTAATCTTTAAAAAAAGTTTTTCCCCCTGTTTGTAAACCTTTTCTTGACTTTTTCTAATAGTGGTCTCACACAATATTTGTCCTTTTGTGATTAACTAATTTCTCTCAACATAATGACCACACAGGAAATTGGTTTCTCATTCAACAGTACATAGACATTTTGTTTCATGACTTTGATTTGCACTTTCTACAAAATTACAGCACTCTTTTCACCTTCTCCCATGTATCCCCTTTCCATTCATCCTTCTTTCCTACCCCTTGCTGCCTTCTGAGCTTTATCCCTTGGTAAATGCTGCCCTTTTGATTACCTGTGGTTGATTGTGCTAAGG